CTCTGACTTTGTGGCTCAAACTGACCTTGTGGTCTAGCGCATTATCCTGCAGCACCAAACTAAGACTTGTCAATATGTATGTTGAGCAAATAATCCAAGTAAATTGATTATATGAAGAGAAACATGACATCAGGGTTTGGAGGGAGACTCATTAACAACCTGCAATATGCAGATGGTACAACCTTGCTTGCTGGAAACAAAGAGGACTTGAAATACTGATGAAGATCAAAAACTACAGCCTTCAGTATGGATTGTACAGGACAAACAAATATCATCATGATAAATGGAGGAAAGACTGAAGCTGTCAATGATTTCATTTTGCTTGGATCTACAAACAATGATGGGAGCAGCAGTCAAGAAACCAAACAAAACATTGCATTATGCAAACCTACTGCCAAAGATTTCTTTAAAGATGTTAATTTGAAAACTAAGGCACACCTCACCAAAGTCACGGTATTTTCAATTGTATCCTATGAATATGAAATTTGTGCAAAGAATAAAGAAGACTACAGAAGGGTTGATGCATTTGAAGTGTGTTGTTGGTAAAGATTATTGAAATATGGATTGCCAGAAGAACAAACAAATCTCTCTTGCAAGAAGTACAGTCAGAATGCTTCTTAGGGGATTGTGAGAATGTGTCTTTCGAACTTTTGACATGTTGTTAGGAAGGACCAGTCTTGGAGTAGGGCATCGTGCTTGGCAAAGTGGAGGGTTAGTCAAAAAGAGGAAGAGCTCCAACAAGATGGACAGACCCAGTGGCAGAAACAAAGGGCTCAAGCATGACAACAACAGTTAGCATGGCGCAGGCCTGGGCAGTGTTTTGTTCTGTGTTGTATAGGGGTCGCTATGAGTCGGAATCCACTCAACAGCACCTAGCAACAACATGTTGTTGTTGTTAAGTACCACTGAGTGGGTTCCGACTCATAGCGACCCTATAGGGTTTCTGAGGAGCGGCTGCTGAGATTGAACTGCTGACCTTGCAGTTAAAACTGACCTTGAGGTCCAGGGCTGAGCCTACAGTGCAACAGCAACACAGCGGCATGATTTTCACATGCTACTAAACAGTCTTTAGGTTTTTCAATTATTTACATATATAAACTTTATCAAGTATACCTAAAAATTTAGACGTTAGTTCTTCAAATGAGAAAATTAAAAATTAAAACAGAGATTAGTGATAAACTGGTAAAATTCAAATAAGGTCTGCAGTGAATAGTACGAGATCAATATTAACGTCCTGATTTTGATAACTGCACCTACAATTTTAGCATTAGGGGAAGCTAAGTGAAAGGTATACACTAACCTTTTACTATTTCTGCAACTTTTCTATAAGTCTACAATTACTTCAAAATAAAATGTATTTTTTTTTAATGAAAAGACAAGCCACAGACTTTGAGAAACTACTTACAAAATATACATCTGATATAGGTAGGTGTAGTATGCAATATATAGGGCTCTTAGAAACCTACACCGTTGTTGTTAAGTGCCGCTGAGTTGCTTCTGACTCACAGTGATCCTGTATATCGGGCTTTGGAAGCACTGGAGGAGCAGTTGGTGGGTCTGAACCACTGACTCTGAGGTTAGCAGTCTAGTGCTTACCTACAGTGCCACACCAGGACAAATAACAACTAATCAATCCACTTAAAAATATGAGCAAAAGGTTTATAGACATTTCACAAAAGAAGATATATGTATAGCGAATAAACTCGAGATACGTTGCTGAACGATATTCGCCATCAGGGAAATGCCAAGGAAAACGCCGAGCCGCTGCTGCACACCCACTAGCATGGCTAACAGAGACTGCCAACACTAATGCTGATAGGGATGTGGAGGTGACAGAAATGCAAAATGGTGTGGAAAAGAGTCGGCTTATTACAGTTCAGCATACACTAACCATCAAAATCAAACAACCAAGCGGAAGGGTCCCTGGGACCATCAAGGGAGAAAAGCGGAAAGTGGGACCCTGCCCAGAGAAGCAGCGACGCCAAAGATGAAGACTGTAGACCCAGAGAGGGAGAGGGGCTGTGTGCTGATGACCGGGGGGCAGGCTTGCAGGATATACCCTTTGGTTGGTAGATGATGCTTGGAGGGGATTGTAACCATGGCAATGAGACAATATAGATAAGATGAATGTAAAGCTAACTTTCTCCTATGTGAACTATCACATAATTCACAATAAAACATTAAAAAAACAAACCCAAAACAACCAGTTGCCTTTGAGTTAATTCAGACTCAAGATGACCCCACGTGTTTGCCATTATTGTTGTTGTGAAGTGCCGTTGAGTCGGTCCTGACATATAATAACCCTGTACAGGATATCCGAGGAGCGGCTTGGTGGGTTAGCAGTCCAGGGTTTATCCTACAGCACCACACCAGGACTCCATATGTTTTTCCAAATAACTCTGCAATTCCACTCCCAGTGACGTGGAAATATATGTTCAAGGAGTGCACTCATGTGTGCTTAGCAACTTAATTGCTAACAGCCAAAAGTGAGGGGCAACAATCCAAATGTCTTCAAATTGGGGGATGAATACACAAATTGTTGTCTATCCAGTAAATGGAATACTCAGAGTCTGTACAGGGTTGCTATGAGTCAGTACTGACTCCATGGTATATAACAACAACAACAGAGCAATACAAGAAAAATACTGATACACTACAACAGATTAATTTCAAAAGCATTATGCTAGTTAAAAGAGGCAAGAGCTAAAAGGATACATATTGTATGACTCCAATTATTCAGTTCTGTTTAGAAAAGACAAAACTGCAGTGAGAGTTAATGCACTGGATTGCAACGTCAGTTTGAACCGCAAGGTTGGCAGTTTAAGCTCACCAGCTCCTTGGTAACCCTATACAGGGTCGCTATGGGTCAGAAGCAACTCGACGGCATTTAACAGCAGCTATAACATAGTGATAAAAAGCAGACTCGTAGTTGCCAGGGGCTGGTGGGCAGGAACTGAGTGCAAAAGACTAGGAAGAAATCTTTGGCGTGTTGGAAATAGTCTGTGACAGGGGCCAGCAAACCTTTTCATGCTTTAGTCTTTACAGGGCAATATGGTTTCTGTCACAACACTGCCCTTTCAATGCAAAAGCAGCCAGCGACAATATGTAACAGAATGAATGTTACTTATGGACGAGGAAATTGGAATTTCATGTGATTTTTATGTGTCACAAAATACTGTTTTTCTTTTGTTTTTTTCCCCAACCATTTAAAACTGTGAGTGCCATTTTCAGTGAATACCATTCTGTGCATAAGTGATCCATACAGAAACAAATAAGGAGCTCTGGTAGCGTAGTGACTATGAGTCAGGCTGCTAACCTCAAGGTCAGGAGTTTGAAATTAGCAGCCATTCCACAGGAGAATGGCTTTCTGCTCCTGTAAAGATTCACAGCCTCGGAAACCCTATACGGGGTCGCTGTGAATTGGAACCGACTCCACAGCATACCACCTTCTCTACCACCAGTTCTGTATCTGGAGTCCTGGTGGGGCACTGTGGATTAATGTGCTGGACTGCAAAGTTGGTTTGAACCACAAGGTTGGCAGTTCAAGTTCACCAGCTGCTCCTCAGAAACCCTAGGCAGGGTTGCTATGAGTTGGAACCGACTCCATGCACACCACCACCACCACCACCACCACAACCAAAACAACTGGCAGGGGACCTGGCCTTTAAGCTTTAGTTAGCTGACTCCCACTTCATGAACTGATAGTTCTCATTATACACTATGTACATCCATCAAAACATCTAACTGTACACTTAAAAGGAGTGCATCTTATTGAATGTAAATTATACCTCAATAAAGAAGCAAAAAGGACAAAAACAAAAGCAGATAGGCGCTTCTTTATGTAATCTCTTTAGTGGATTCAAAACCAAAACAGATTACAAAGCATTATCTTATGATCAACATCCAGCCACAGAAGATTAGGAAAAACATAGGTCAAATAAAAAGACACAGGTATTATGTAGCTTGCAACTACAGTTGAACAAAAATGCTATTTATTCTGAATTTGCTGTTTATTTAGTGAAGAGGAGTGCTGCTGTGGCTACAGGGGAGGCACTAGGCCACACACAAGGTCAGCAGTTCAAACTCACCCAGCTGCTCCTTGGAAACCCTACAGAGGGTCGCGATGAGTCAGAACCAACTCACTGGCGCTTAACAAAACACAACCATAAAAGGGAGACTTGGAATGGCGCTGTAGGGTAAGTGCTGGACTTCTAACTACAAGGTCAGTGGTTCAAACCCACAGCTGCACTTCAGAAACCTTATCCAGGCTCATTATGATTTGCAACGGACTTGATGGCTCTTAACAACGACAACAGCATAAAGTTAAGGAATTAATAATTTTGTGTTTTTTTATTTTTGTAGTGCTTTTGCTTTTTTGATTGTTGTTAAAATATAGACAACACAACATTTGCCAATTCTGTATTTTTCATGCCTACAATTCGGTGATGACCACCATGTTGTGCAACCACCACTAGAGAATGTTGCCAAAGTTCCCATCACCAGAGCCAGAAAGTCAGTGTCAACAGTTAATTCCACCGCTGTGTTTTACCGACTGCACCAAACAGAAAGCCTTCTCTATATAACGTGTTCATTTTGCAGCAGGCCTTAATTCTAATGAGAAGTGGGGTTGGAAGTGAGAATTGGATATACAAAGTTTACAGGGGCACATTTTTACCTTTGGCAGCAATGATTTTATTATAGTGAGCAGTCATGTGACTCCTGACCAGGTGGAACGAGTTCAGTCTGAGCGAGGAGGAGTCAGTGCAAAAAGCTAAAAGGTAAAAACAAATTTAATCAACATGAAAACCATCGGGAGATAAGCAGACTCCTGATTATGACGCCTCATTCTTATCTCGTTTTGAAATGCAACAACGGAGACACTGACATTCTACATTTGTGCTGAGGAACACCTTGGAGCTGTGCTCTTGACCCTTTCTGATGAGCTACTGAACTCGGGGGCTCAAACTTTGCACAAGTAAAGCTCTACAACATGGGAATGAATGAAGTCTAAAAGATAACATTTCATCACGTTTAGAAAGCTGCTTACTGACAGCACTCAAACTCCCAAGTAAAAACGTTGATTTAGTCACTTATTTACTTGATTATATAAATTAATGTTAGCATTACTATTAGTGAACCATCCATCGAGTTTGGGGGAATATACAAATTCCCAATCCCAAATCCTATACGAAGATTCTATTCTGAGAGATAAGTTTCTAACTTCATTCCTGAAAATCAGATCTCCTACATGTCAGTTTACTGCATTCTTTTTGATGTACAGGCAGCCCCTAGATTACTAGTGTCCTTTAATCCTATGCTGGCATAAATGTTGTGCTAATAGGCAATCGGGCTGTTAACTGCAAGGTCAGCAGTTTGAAACTACTAGCTTTTCCACGGGAGAGAGATGAAGCTTTCTGCTCCCGTAAAGATTTACAGCCTCGGAAACCCTGTACAGGGTCTCTGTGAGTCGGAACCGACTCAACGGCACAAAACAACAACAATAGCAGTTCAAACCACTGGTCACTCCATAAAAGAAAGACGAGGATGTGTTTTTGGTTAGTCGCCATTTTAACGGGCAGGCAGGCCTTTACTCCAGGGTATTCTGCCGGTAAGAACAGAGCCAGGGCAGAGGGCAGCCAAGCTCGTGTCCACTGACACACGGTAGTTTGAAATGCTGCTGCTGCTGCTATTGTAGTTCAGTGCTGTTGAGTCGGTTCTGACTCCTAGACCCTATATGGGAGAAGCAGCTGTTGAGTTTGAACTGCCGACCTTGTGGTTCACAGTCTAGTGCTGATCCTACAGCGCCACACCAGGAGTCCAGTTTGAAATGATTGGCTCCTAAATTGTCTAATTTCAGAATTCCTATATTTATAGCTCTTCAAAAAATGACATGCAGTTGGGAAATCTCATAGGTTCATTATATGAAGTAATTTTTCATCATGTCATTTAACTAGCAAGTAAAGGAAACCCACATTTCATCAATATTTTAACAAGCTACTGTTAAAACCAGTAGTTCACTTACCGTTACTTTTGGTGCTCAAGTGTCCCTTGAAGAGGTATGGTGAACCATATCTGGGAAGGACTTAGAACAGACAAACCAACCAACAAGGAATTACTAGGGTAAATAAAACACAGCTTTCATAAAAATTTACCGAACATTTAAAAGACAATACATTCATCTTTAACTACAAGAGTCATTAAAAATTGTATTCATTTGCATTACTAACCACCAATATTACATCAGACAGCAAAACACTGCAGCCATTGACAAAAGGTTTTCTCTTTTAAGAAATAAGTCATTTTCAAGACTCAACGGAAATGCACGCTCTGATTGGTGACCACACACATCACTGATGGAGGGAAGTGGGGTAAAAGCAGCAATGAAACGGCAAGCCAAGCCCTACAATGTTCAGTGGACTTCTGTGGACCCAGTTGGGGACATTGTTGGCAAGCAGTGTGAAGAGGCCTGGGGACTCTTGGGCCCAGAGACAGTGGTGTGGCCACGGAGGACTCGAGAGGAGAGTGGAGCTACCGGCTGACAGGAAGATAGGACATATGCACAGGAGCGCCCACACTTGCAGATGATACCCACGTGACCTGGACCGGATGACTGGATGATCGGAGCTCAACCAGGAGAGGAAAGAAGAGGGGAGAAAAAAAAATGAGTGAGCTGATACAATCTGATGATGAACTTGACCTAGACCTATGGAGCAGCAACTCAAAAGAGGGTACAAATCCTCACATCAAGAAACATCCACCCCCCCCCCACACACACAAACACACACAGAGTGGACAGAGAAGGGCAGCTCGGACATTGGATACTCAAATGGGGAGGGGGGGACTACAAAGGCAAGAAGTGACTGGCTTACAAGCTTTCAAGAGGGAACCTGGTGCTAGGGAGCATGGCAGAAGGCAGAATCTCCAGTAGGTACTATTCAATCTGTCTGGGCGGAGCGGATGAAAGGAGATACAGATGGGTAACTTGTGATACGGTAGTGAATAATGCTTATCAGGGCGGATTATGAGGGTTGGAAATGCAAAGGTAGAAAGTTTTGTAAGAAGGAAGGGAGTGATTGATTCTCCAGTATAGGAGAAGAGCCAAGAGCGGGACCCTACCCAGAGAAACAGAGATGCCTGAGATGGAGACAGAGATGATGACGTGGAGTGATGAAGCGACTGGGGACTTTGGACCCAGAGAGGGAAAGGGACTGTGGGCTGAAAACTGAAGGGAGGAGGGGGAAGTGTAGGGAGCAGGTTTCTGGGATATACCCTTTGGATGGTTGAGGATGCATGGAGGGGATTGGAACCATGGCAGTGAGATGATATACGATGGAATGAATGTAAAACTAAAGTTCTCCCATGTAAACTATCATATAATACACAATAAAGCATTAAAAAAAAAGAAATAATTCATTTTCAAAATGGCTGTACCTTGAAACTTTTGTTTCACTTCGTAAAATGATAAAAGCATCATTTATGTTTTTTGACGTAGCTTAACTGTTCTGTACATCATTGACCAACTGGAATATTCACTGATTTTGAGAACATCTGTATCAACTATTTCAGTAAATCACAGGTTAGTTCTTAAAAATAATTTAAAGAAAGTACTCCTCTCACAAAGTGAATGTGAAATTATATCACTGAATATGTTGGTATGTAAAGAATAAGTAAATATAAAAATCATGATCAGAATTTAATGATTATGTCTTAAGTTCTCTCTAGCTCAAACAATTTATCCCTTGCTTAGAGCCTGTTGTTGCTGTTGTTACGTGCCGTCGAGCTGGTTCCAACTCATAGCAACCCTGTATAGGGTTTCCAAGGAGTGGCTGGTGAGTTTGAACGACTGACCTTGTGGTTCAAACTGACCTTGTGGTCCAGTGCTTCATCCCACAGCACCACACCAGGACTCTGCCTAACTAACCAAAAAAACCAAACCCACTGCCATGGAGTCGATTCCTGTATAGGAAGACTTTCCATGGCTATAAATCTTTACAGGAGCAGAAAGCCTCATCTTTCTCCTGAGGAGCAGCTGATGGGTTAGAACTGCCGACCTTGTGATACCCTATATTTAAAACTACTTCTGGTAATGGAAAACTCACTATCACCTATAAAGCCAGTATCTCAACTTTCACACTGCATGGACTGTAAGAAACTTCGATACATGAGGGTAAGTCAAAAAGTATTGCTAATAGGGGTTCAGTTCATACAGGTACAGATGATCCCAATCAAAAAATTGTCTCTGATCCGTAGCTGACCACAGATTAAGTTCTCTCAGTAATAACATCTGTTTTAGTCTCATTAGGGTGATCTCCTGGGTTCAGTTCAAGACAGAGATCAATCAGCTTAGAAGCTCTGGCAACTGTTTTTTGGGGGAACTTCAAAAGGGTATTCTTGATAGATTTACAGGACAGTCAAGACAACTTATCCAGAAGAAATAAGAAAATGAAAATCTGCATTGGTGAAAAAAAGGCCAGAAAATGTGTGTCGTGGAATTTTTACCATCTTGCCAATGTGCCTGCGTACTCTTCTAGGGTAGTAAGGGCTGTCCCAGGAAAATCTTGTTGGGAAACCTTATCCCATCCATGCTCTGATCTTACCCCTTCAGGCTTCTTTTTGGCCCCCAAACTCAAATTACATTGATTTGAGTCCCTTGCGGCTGCCCAAACTGTCATTTTGATGTGGTGTGTATCAAAGGGCTTAGAATTCTTCAGAGAAGAGTTCTTGTTGTTGTGTGCTGTCGAGCTGAGTCTGACCCATAGCGACCCTGTATAGGGTTTCGGAGGGGTGGCTGGTGAGTTGACTCTGTGTAGGGGTTTCTAAGGCTGTATATCTTTCACTGTAGAGCAACTGGTGGATTCAAACTGCTGACCTTATGGTTCGCAGGCCAGCTTGTGACTGACTACCCTATGAGGGCTCTTTTTAGTATGCTGTTGTTGTTTTTAAGTAGGGTCGAGTCAGTTCTGACCCATGGCGACCCTGTACAGGGTTCCTGAGGAGTGACTGGTGAGTTTGAACCACTGCCCTTGCGGTTCAAACTGACCTTATAGTCCAGTGCTTATCCTACAGTGCCAAACCAGGACTCCTTGATGTTGTTGTTGTTAAGTACCATCGAGTTGGTTCCGACCCATAGCGACCCTGTATAAGGTTTCCAGGGAGCAGCTGGTGAGCTTGAACTACCAACCTTGCAGTTCAAACGGCTTTGCAGTCTGGTGCATTAACCCACAGCACCACACCAAGACTCTGATACTGAGAAAAGCCAAATCCCACTTAACCAACACCAATTGTGCAGATGTGTCAAATCCCACTTTTGTGACACCAAATCTAAGGATCCACGCTGCAATGCCCACTCCTCATAGCAGCTGAGTGGAACCAGTTTCGTCCCCATTCAACTACACACGCAGCGCTTAACTCCTCTAACCCTAAGCATCCAGACCCCGCAACTTCAGAGACCCCGTGACAGCCACACTTCTGACCTTCGGCCACCAACTCAGGTTCCTCACTACCCCCTCAGGATACCAAGCATAAGCTAGGGTCCTCAGTGTCCTCCCATTTCTAACTTGCTGGCTTCTATGGGTTCTAGGGAACTTACTCAAAGAACACCTGGGATGACAGCGTTGCTGTAATTGTTATTAGTGTGAAGTGCCGTCAAGTCGGTTCCGACCCATAGCGGCCCTGTGTAGGGTTTCCAAGGAGCGGCAGGTGAGTTTGCATGGCTGACTTTGTGGTTCAAACCGACCTTGCGGTCTAGTGCTTCATCCCACAGCGCACACCAGAACTCCGATGCTGTAATTTGTTGTTGTTGTGATGTGCCTTGGAGTCGGTTCCGACCGATAGCGAACCTGTACAGGGTTTCCGAGGCTGTAAATCTTTACGGGAGCAGAAAGCTTCATCTTTCTCCCGCAGAACAGCTGGTAGTTTCAAACTGCTGACTGTGAGATCAGTAGCCCAATTTGTGACTACTATGCTACCAGAGCTCTTTTTTGCTGTAATTTGTTGTTGTTGTGAAGTGCCATCAAGTCAGGTTCCGACCCATAGGGACCCTGTAGAAGGTTTCCAAGGAGCAGTTGGTGAGCTTGAACCGCCGACCTTGCAGTTCAAATGGCTTTACAGTCTGGCGCATTAACCCACAGGCGCCACCCCAGGACTCCTTTGCTGTAGTAGACAGATACAATTGAAAAGATCCATAGGGTGAGGTATGGGAATATCCCCAATTCAGAACTACCACGTGCCCAAAAGGGATGTGTTCTCCTCCCCGGTGAATCAGTACCATTAGCCCACGAGCATCTGGCCCAGAGTCTTTACTGTGGGCTCATTACATAGACATGTTTCATTGCATCATGTTCTCCAGCCCCATGAGGTTGATAGATATCACAAAAAGGTCTCTGTGTTACTGCTTTCACGCCATTGTGGTCAGAACACCTATTTTTTTCCGGCTCCATTTTCCTTCACCTCTCATTCTGGTACTTCTAATATCTTTCTGTCTGCGTATTTAATAGTGCTCCACAGTTCTCTATTAGTTTTTCTTCACGTTTCCACTTTTCAGACGGCGTACTTTATCAATCACTGTATCTTGAAGCTCACGGACCCTTTCTCCTGTCAGTTCCAATCGACTGGTGAAAATTTCTCATTATATTGTACTCTTCCACTCCAGAATTCCCTTTTGGTCCTTTTTAGAATTTGTTCCTTTATTGATATTCTCTATTCAATGAGATCATCAGCATCATCAGAACGTCTTTTTACTTAGTTTAAAGGAAGTTTAAGCACATTTCTTTTACTTCTCTGAACATGTTGACAATGGCTGCTCTAAGTCTGTAAGCTGATTAAAAGGGACAGAACTGGACGAAGAAATAGACTATTAATCAGGGCTTCTCCCAGGCAGTTTCTGGTGCCAGTTTTGTTTCCTGTGCATGGGTCACATTTTTTTTAGGGTTTATTGTTTTTGCATGTCTCATGTTTTTCTTGTTGAAAACCGGTTACTTCATATATTCAGTGATGAGGTGGGTTTGGGTTTTTACTATTGTAGTAACTGGATACGGGTTTCCTTCCCTCCTCCCTGGGGCTTCTTTTTCGTTTTCTGTTGTT